CTGGAGCACAGTGACACTGCCCAGTGAATGGGTCGCAGAGGCCACCGTTGTGACAGCGACATTCCTGTGAGCAGTTGGGTCCATGGAAGCCCTCCGGACAGGGCAGGGAGCAGATGGTGCCCTGTGGGGTGAGGGGTCCACAGAGATGAAGGCGCCTGCTGGAACACCCCCCCACACACAGGACCCTTTTGATTCTCGGGGATCCAGAGCCCTGGCACCTCTCCAAGCCCATGGATCCCACCCCTCACATACGTGCTCCTCGGAGCCCCCGTGGAGCGCCACCCACAGACTGGTCCCCAGATTCCTGCCCCACACCCCCAGGCCCCACCCTCATACCATCCAGCCAGGTGGGCAGCTGCAAGAATTCTGGGCAGCCAGGAAGACACCCCCGTTGTGGCAAGGAGAGGTGATGGGGCAGAGGGTGCCGGCAGTGCCCTGGTGGCAGGCCACCTCGCAGCTGCCGGGCAGAGCAGGCACGGTCGGTGCGTGCCTCCCCACTGCCCACGAGGCTGGCCGGCCACCCGCAGGCCCTCGGCGAGGCAGGCCTGACCTCAGGGCTCCGGGAGTCCCACCCCGCTCCCTGCTGAGGACTGCGGGCATCAGAAAGCAAAGGTTTCCGGGGGATGGCAGGACACCTAGCACCGCCCAGCCGCGGGGTGGACAGCCCACAGGCCCCCACCTCCACCTCTCGCGCTGTGTCTCCCTGCACCCCTGCACCCCGTCTCGGCCCCGCCCTGTGACACGCAGCGACCCTCCTGGGTGCAGCACGGTCCCCATCGTCCCCATCGCACAGACGGGAAGCAAGATCCGTCAGCGTCCGGCTCACGACCGCCGGCCGGTGAGCGGCGCAGCTGGGACTCTGGGTCCTGGCCGCTGGATGCCACCCCCATGTCTGGGGCCCCGTCTGAGTCCCCCCATGCCCCCGTGTGGTCCTGCGTGTGCGGCCCCGTCAGCGTGCTTGTCCCCGTTACACACCTGGGCCCCGTTCTCTCTGGGGGGCAGAAGCAGGCTCCAGTCCGGGGGTCGCAGGGGGCCCCGTGGCAGTGGCAGCTGAACTGGCAGGCAGGGCCGTAGCGGCCAGGGGAGCAGGGCTTCAGGCAGTGCGGGGGCTGCAGGCCAGGGGGGCAGGAGCACTCCCCACTCTTGGGGTCACAGGAGCTACCATTGCCACAGCTGCAGGGCTTGTCACACTGCGGTCCCCACACTCCTGGGGCACATGCTGTGAGACGAGGGAGCGGCAGGGGGTCACCAAGGGCCTCGACCCACAGCCCCCAGTCCACACGTCTCTGTCCCCTGTCCGCATGTACGCCCGTGGGGGACTTTGGCCCAAACCCTGCACGCTATCTCTGGGGAAGGTGGCTGGCTGCAGCGGGGTTCTGGTGGGTGACCGCCCGGGGTCGCAGGCACCCGCGTGCCGGTGAGGCTGTGCCAGGGTCCCACGGCCACCGGCCACTCACCGCTGGAGCAGTCGTCACCTCGCCAGGCTTGTGCACACTGGCAGTGGCCGGGCGCCACGCAGCGGCCATGGATACACTCGTTGGCGCAAAGTGCTGTGGCAGAGGGGGCAGGGTGACGAGGCGCCTGCACCCCCATCGCCTCCACCCTCCAAGGCCTGAGCCTGTCCCCCTCCCCCACCGGGGACCGGCACGCCCCACGAGCTTCTCGCAGGACTGAGGGGCACCTGCTGAGGGCCCAGCTGGACGAGACCGTGAGGTTCCTGCCCCCAGCCCCTCCCTGCGAGGTTCTCGAGGCACCCTGGGAAAACGGGACAGGGCTCCTCAGGCAGTGACTAGAAGTGGCTGCTGTTCGGAGTGGGGGGCGTCTAGGGTGGGGCACGCTCAGCAGGAGTCCCCGCAGGGCCTGGCGACGGGCCAGGGCTGAGAAAAGGGGTGAGCGGCAGAGCAGGTCTAGGGGTTTCATGGTATGGGAGGCGGAGGGCAGGAGAGACCGGGCAGAGGCAAGTCAGAGACAGCAACAGAGAGACAGAGACGGAGACAGGCAGACGCAGACCCGCGGCGGGGAGACAGGCACCCCAGGCACAGAGGGACCAGGAGAGGGGAGCCGAGGGAGGAGCTGGCGGCTGTGTCCCCAGGGACAACAAGGTGGGGGGAGGGCGGAGGAGCACCCCCTCCCCGCGGGCACAGGCAGGCCTGGGCAGAGCCGGCCGCGGGACTCACGGACGCAGACGCCGCTGATGTCGTAGAAGCCTTGGCAGCACTGCAGGCGCCTTCGGTGGTCCGTCTTCACCACCTGGCGGTACACGGTCTTGTAGACCACCCTGGGGAGGCCGAAGGGGCCCTCAGTGTCCCTGCCTGTGGCACCGGGGAGGCCAGGCACTGCCAGCGCCCGGCTGGGGGGACGTGGAGCGCATCCCACACACCCCAGGCCTTGAGCGTCCGAGGCCGGCTGCTTCCTCGAACCGACGGGTCGGAGAAGAGGAAGCCGGGAGGGACCCAGGCAGCAGCCGCCCACCCACAGCGGGGTCAGGGCACTCACGTGGGCCGGGGGCAGGTGTCGGGGTTCTCCCAGGGCCGGTCGCAGGGCTCCGGGGGCAGCAGGCTGAAGGGGCGGGAGTGGGCCTCCTTGGTGCTGGTGGTGAAGCTGCGGGGAAGGGCCAGGGGGTGCTGGGGGGGACTCGCCACCTCCACTTCGGGGCCTGCTCCCCAGGCCTCGGGCGGACCTCCACCTGCTCCCCCCATCTGAAGGGATCCTCCCAGAACTGGCGTATGCCTGGGACACCCCACTTCTCGCCCTGGGGGACCAGAGCTGCCACGTTTTTCTCCTCGCCCCAGGCAGGGCAGCCGCGCTGGAGCGGACTGTGGCCCAGCTGGTGCGGCCTGTGCTGGCCTCGTCCCCTGCCCTGGCCCCTCGGCTCCCGCCGGGCTGGCCCCCTGCCCGCCCCGCCCTGCGCTCTGTCCTGCACCAGCCGCCCAAGTGGCGAAGGATGGACAGACAGGGCCAGAGCCGGGAGCAAGTCCGAGGCGGCCCATGGAGGGAGTGGAGAAAGCGGAAGCCGAACAGGAGGTGGGTGGGGGTCGGAGGGTCCCAGAGGGAGGCCAGGGGGTGGGGCTCGGGGCACAGCAGGGGCCCCTCTCACCTCTCCCAGAAGGTGCAGGTGTTGGGGTCATTGGGGCTGAGGGTTCCAGCCAGCCCCGGGCTCAGGGCCAGGAGGAGGAGGGAGCACAGCGGCGCGGACACGGCCGAGGCCTGCGGCATGGCTGCCGAGGGCACTGCAGAGACCCGAGCGGGGTGTCAGGAGGGCGCAGGCTG